CACCAAGAATATCAGCACCACCAGCAGCAAAGTAAGGATCCTCGTCCTCCTCATTCTCTTCTTCAGCATCCATTACTCTGATGAGTTCCTCCAAGGCAGCAGCTTGACCCTCAGCATCCTCTGCAGTACCATCATTACTATTACCAGCACTCCTTCTCCTGCGAGGAACAACGCGTCTCCTGCTTCCTGCAACAATACTACTAGCAGCAACATGTCGTCGTCCTGCAGTAGCAATGCGTCCCCCTCCAGTACTAACGCCTCCAGCAATGCCTTCAGTAACACGTCCTCCAGCAACACGTCCTCCAGCAACACGTCCTCCAGCAACGCCTCCAGTAACGCCTCCAGTAACGCCTCCAGTAAGAACGCCTCCAGTAACGCCTCCAGTAACGCCTCCTCCAGCAACGCCTTCAGTAACACGTCCTCCAGCAACACCTCCAGTAACGCCTCCAGTAACACGTCCTCCAGCAACGCCTCCAGTAACAACGCGTCCCCTTCCAGTAACGCCTCCAGTAACGCGTCCTCCGCGTCTCCCGCGTCCTCGACTACTACCAGTAGTACTAGTAGTAACGCGTCCGCGCTGTTGTTGTTGCTGTTGCTGTTGCTGTTGCTGTTGACGAAGAGCTGCTTCTTCTTCCTCACGTACGTCAAGTGCAATTCGAAACAAGTTTGGGACAGGCTGGTCAGTGCCGCTTGCGCGGCGTCCTGTTCGAGGTTGTTGTGGGGGTGCCATCTTGCTTGCTGTTCTTTATTGCTTTGCTTTATTGCTTTGCTTTATTGCTTTGCTTGTTTGCTGCTTTGCTTTGCTGCTGCAGTCGAAGTTTTTGTGTGAAGGAGGAGCGAACCACACGTGGTTGTATTATTGCACACTCTACGTACGTTTTAAGGGGAATCAACGGTCGAAAATGCAACAAAAAACGCTGGTGAATCYTACCAGTAAGAAAAAAAGCAATACTGTTTTTGTTAGTTAATTTACACACAAATTATAGTATACTGTCAAAAAAATAGGGATATTGGTCTCCGTACATAGACATATATGGGGTAGGGCTATTCAGTATTGTTTTTGCGTTGCATCGAGGCAATTACCATAATGCAATTTTAGTTGCAAAATACGGATACTGTATTGGTAAAAATAACCCTCGAAATCATGCCCCCGATGTTTGATTACAAAGGGGAACGCGCGCGTGTTGGTTCCGGACGGCCCAGTACAAATTAAATAGTATGACTCAATTTTTAAATTTCAAATTTCCATTCGACGTTTTGTTCTCTCTGCTTTTGTCCCTCATCTCACTCGGTACGATATGGTACGTACCTCGTACGACACCAGTCGAGTACCGGAACGGAACCCTTGCACATGAGAAGGTACAAGAGTAGGTGTACGTACGAGTACGATACTGTTTTGAATTGCAGTGCTGGTTCTTTTAAGAGCCTGCGCTGAAATTCCTTTGGAGAGCTATAATAGAAGCGAAAGACAGATACGGTACAGTAATAATAGACGTTCCATAGGACGAAGGAATGACAATAACCATATCTTCACTAGAGCGACAAGAGAGCAAGTCCGGAAAGCATAGCAACTGCTCCCCGGANATAGACGTTCCATAGGACGAAGGAATGACAATAACCATATCTTCACTAGAGCGACAAGAGAGCAAGTCCGGAAAGCATAGCAACTGCTCCCCGGATTACSCCACGATGGTTCTGGTTCAGTGCCCTTCGTCCACCGCAACGGCGAATGTCGCCGACAATGTAACTACTCCCAACAAACCACGCCTGGATAGTGGGATCAAACGCACCGTGGGACGAAGCAGGAGACGAAGGCCAATGRCAGGCACTCCAAGTACTGCTGCTWTAGATAGTGCGGTTGACAAGGAGAATCGTCGGCATTGTCGTTCTGCTAGACACAAGGCAAACATTACGTCGACGCCTGTCCAAAGCAGCGGAAAGGATATCTATTCGATACACTATCATGACGACGACGAATTTGTTTCGCTTGCGGAAACAAAGGACGAGCACTCCTCCTCTCACTTGCCCATTGCTGCGTCTCTTACRGAGACTACCGCCCAATACGATATCCAGAACGATGGCCAGATTTTTGAGGCTTGCTGTAGAGAATTTCGACGGTCGTCAAAAAAAGCGTCGGTTCCATTCAAATTATGGAGAATCTTTCCGGACCTACCCGACACAATAATTCGCATGTCTCTCTCCAAATCCATCACTGCAGAATCTCTGGGACTTACTGAGCATTCAACCGCTTTGTTAAATTTTTCCAGGAAACTTATCAAGGACGTAAATAGTGCAGCCAAGTCTCCCAGGGACAATCTGTTTGTTGCGGTCCATGTGTTGAGGTCGGTGTCATTTGTTTTCGCAGATACGGCGACGATAGAGCAGAAGGAATCCTTACTAAAATTGTTCTACCACTTGATTACTGTAGCTGTTGATATAGAAGGAACAAAAGGTGGGAATAATTCACAAGAAAACGGTGACAAACATCGATTGAAATGGATCGCCATTGCAGGATATGAAGGACTGGCAAGTATCTTGTCTCACTATTCGATAAAACAGAAATTTAATGAAGGAGAACAACGAACTGTATCCTTCCAATTGACACGAAATGATTTTGCAGATCAAAATTTAATTGACGAAAGGATAATCTTTGCGGTTCCATCTACTGCCAGGAGGAAATTGGTAGACTCGAAAACATCCTCTTTTGGAACCATGAGCATACGACAATTGTCTACCATTGCATTGAAAACCACCATGGTCGTCGCGAAAGCGATACTGCATCTTGACCCGATAGAATATGGATGCTTGTCATCGTGCTACGGGAGTTTAGCAATCATCCCAGCATTGGACTTCTGCAATGAGGGCGAAAAAGGAACCTGTCGTTTCCAACGAATTGCTTTGAGGATACTGCGACAGATATATGGTCCTTGGCTCTCGCTATTAGCAAGTGACATGATAAACGAGCGAGAAGTTGCTAAGGAAGTCATTTCATACTCGAAAAGCACACATCGGTTGCTTTGGGATGCGGCATCGACACTAAAGTCTCGTTCCTCCCCCGACAGACCCAAAAAATGYACCAGCTGTAGCAACGACAACAATCACAACAAAATCATCGAAAGYGATTGTTTAGAACTCCGGAAGCATGCAATTTTGCATCTCTTACCGTGCACCGGTGTTTCGGAGATAGATTTGTTGATACGGAAGACGTCTCTTGAAAATGGATGCACATATGCCTGGAAAGCTGCTATGGTATTTTCTCAGCACATGGCATCGTGTTCATCTGATGCCCCTGCGGGTAAATCGTTGCTATCCAAAATGTATACCGAGTTGGAGTCGACGTTTGCCAGATTCGTTGATATGGATCCGGTTGTACCTCTTGGATTAATTGAATATAAAGTTTACAAAACTTTACATTTGGGTTCATTTTCGACGACAACCATCGATATTCTGAATCATACGCGTTCCGACTCCATCGAATTTAGCATCGGTGAYGACGAGTTACAGAATGGAAACTACAGAATACTTTTCTATATACTAGAACTTGGACTTCTGAGCAAAACGAGAATTGAATCATCGTCCAATATCGAAAAATCAATGACTGCTACTACTTCGACATCCTTGTTGGATAAACTGATACTAAGTTTCAATCAGCAGATAACATTTCAACTCGACAAGTTCTCTAGCGACGTTTTGAATCGAGTTTTGAAAGCCTTTTGCAACCTGTCGCTACATAAAACTCTGTATCTATGGATAAAACAACAACGCAATTCGGGAGATCAATCTGCGACAAACCTATCGGAAAGCGAACTCTTCACTGTGTCGACCATTCTAACAGAATGTCTTGGTCCATTCATGTCGGTCTTTGTGCATAAATATCCGCAAAAGGCMCCACAACTTGTTGACTTGGTGATGGAATGCTTCCTTCGGCCTTTATCTTTTTACGAGTACATGCTGATTCAGCGACAAACGGAAGATAATGAATACAAGCGGAGGCGTTTTGAAAGGCACTTGCATATATCAACAGTTATTTGCGAAAAACTCGCTGACATCTTCACCAACTTTGTGCRACGACGAAACGATTTTATCGTTCCAATACATAGCTTGGAAAAAGCAGCGAAGGTAGGGAAATTATGTTTTTCTACAAATCGAGCGACCSAATAAATTTTGTATGTTGTCAAGTATTCAACTTACCAAACTTGTCCTTTTTACCCCAGTCCTTATATGTCATGGCGAAAGAAAGGAATGAAAGATCTCTTGGAGTAGAGTGCATTCCGCCTTTGCTATTTTCTATAAAGCTTTATGATAAGCTTGATGTGCTAAATGGTCACAAAAAAGATTATCAAATGTCCTCAAGGTTATTTTTCTTATCGTCTATTTTCATGTCGAATGGTAAGGCCTACGAATCCTTTTTTGTGTCTTGCATGGTGATAAATCGCGAATCACAAAAMAAATCCGCTACTGCCACCTCGTCGGCAGAATCAAAAGAGCAAAATTTGTTAAATTATTTTGCTGCACTAAGCTGGGGACTTCTACCTCCGTCGTCCGACGAAGCTCCAATGTTACCTCAAACAATAAGAACGYTGTGCCGTCAAATGGCATTGAACGTGGGAAACGCCGAGAAGTGGAGTATGACCGAAGGGTTGATAGCACATGYAGACGAWTCATTCGTGSATTGCTTAATCGAATCATTTCATGAAGAATCCACAGGTAACGAATCTATGTTTCAAACAATTCACCCCATTGATTCCATCAGACTRCTRCTCGATTTCGAAAATATTATCGATGATGAAAGGAGATTGGTACACWTATTTTCGGTACTTGAAATAACTATCCAAGTCGGCCAATCGATGGGACAGCTTTCCCGTGATTCAGATGGTAACGGAACACAAATCGAAGATACTTTGCACAATTATTCGTGCCTACACAATCTCCTCCAAAAGGCAATCATTGACCTTGATTTGGAATGCACTCGCTCTTTGCTTGGTCTACTCGATCTCATTGCTTCAGCTAGTTTAGTCCCAGATATAAGCAGAAGTATGAGAAAGAATGCCTTTCACTCCGATCACGTCTTTGGATTTGATACTCCGCTGGTCAATACTGCCATGAGTATAACAAAGGACTGTCTTGAACAACTCAAACTATCAGTCGGCTTTCGCAACGAAAGAACGTCAGGATTATTATGCGAGAGTCTTCGAATCACACTACTCAGTCTTCTCGTTATGCTTCAGCGAAGGTTAAGAGAGACAGATTGCTTCAACGATTTGTTAACCGAATGCGTGAGCGTTGCCGAAGCAATTGTAAGTTCGGAAAATGAAATCGACTCYAGGTCAATTCGCTGGACGATTTGGACGATCACTATTGTCCAGAATGAATTAGAAATTATAGCTGATCATGATAGGGCTGCTATTCTATCACTATGGACATTGGCACTGGCCAAAAAAATTGAGCCTTACCAACCATGGTTTCAAGCTKCGGCAATGACGGCCTTTGCGAAGGAAAGYAATGTTACAAGAATGAATGATTCCGTTACAATCGCCTCTTGTGTTGTTACTACAGCTCACGGGTCTCCATTTTGGATTTTTGAGAAAGAGTTTCAACTCTGCAAACTTCGTTCCGAGGCATTGAAGCTTGATGCTCACGCCCAGGAATCGTTTTGTACACAAATGCAACRAGTGGAAGACATTCAACTGGAACTCGAAAAATCGATGGTGGAAAAAGATGATGACATGTTTGTMCTACACACTTGGGTTTTATCAACCGCATACATCGTACAGTGCGATATCTCATTGGTCTTTGGATGTTATCTTACAGCATCAAAGACTGCGCAGATGTGCCAAAGACTTTGCCAAATGATAATGAAAAGAGCTTCATTCAGGGTTAAAAAGTCCGACAACTGGATGTCAGTCATAGCAACTTCGACGGTTCTGACAAGAGCGTCACAGAGGTATATACAAGTTCTATTTCGTAGGTCAAATCTCCAATATCGACTKGGGGACCACCGCAAAGCTATTGCGTACATGCGCTCTGTACTCGAGTATTTAAAGATCGATCCAGATTCTTTGACTCTGAAAGAGAGGCATGATGTTGCACCTAAGGAYTTGGGTGTGTCTTTGGGCTTGGCAACACAGATTCGTCACTTTCTCGAAGTGAAAAGCTGGGCTTCTACGAACGACACCACGGTGCAAGAGCTTTCTTACATCAAACCAAAAGATCTCAAACGTTGTTACTCCAATGATTCCTACCAAAGTCAATTATCAATCGTGCATTCAATCCAAGATATGATTGTTGGTAAGCCGAAACAATGCAATGTTGGACATGAGTACTCTGATGTTGAAATTAATCWTACCTCAACTTGTCTTCCCATTTTTCTTCACAAGTCGGTGACATCCTTTATGGTGATTCAATGTCCATAAAATTTCAACAAACATTTCATTCCTTTTATCAAGAGGCTGCAGCATTGATAGCTGAGAAGGCTGGGAATATCAAAGAGATRCCGTTAACCGCACCGATAAATATGCAAGGAGCACTGGGAATGCCAGTTTTCAACAAGGTGAAGCTACGCGACATTCGTGGACTGCTGGAATCTTCACACGAATTGGAGAAGGATWTGAAAATGACCATTCGCAATTTATGCATTCACATCGRAGAAAGTGAATTCTCAAGTCCAGAAGACAAGGCATGGTCGCTGTATTACCTCGGAGTTCTGGAACTAGACAATGCTAGACGATCGGGCGCTCTGCATCAAATGTGGAATGAYCATGGTTGTGGTGAACATTCATGTTCTAGCTCATCCGACGATGAAAATATTCGTTTCTCRAGGCTATATCTATCTAAAGCCTTGSTACATTCGACGTCAGGTAGTGATATTTTCAGAAGAAACGTTCTTCGTAGTCTTGCTCTAGCACAAGGTCCAAAGAACAATGATGGCATTGGAAACTCAGCCGGAATACTTGTTTTGACTTCGATTGGACAATCAATTCGAAGGAAACTGTCATATTCTTTTGACCAGGACCGGGAATCGCACGAGGGAGAATCTCTAAGRAATTTGAGAGATGTTTTCAGCTTCTTTGATGTTGCATCCGAATCTGACAAAGAGAGAGATGAAAAAATCTCTGAGTTTCTTAGAGAGCTTGCTGTCCGAACTCCTAGCAATTGGGAATATGTTGCTCCTGTGATATGTCCTTCTGGAGAAYTGCTCGTCGTTATTGTWCGAAAGACAAATCTGAATCTGAAGGAATTTGTGATTTCAACGAAGTGTATTTTTTCCCTAAGAGGAGAAAATGCTTATGACAATATTATGAAACCATTAGACAGCATACTGGCCAGGGTTCAAGAACATCTCAGTAATGGAGTGGATGCATCTCTTCTTTCTAAAAGCGTTGACAAAGAGGCCATCAAGAGGCAATGGTGGAACGAACGCAATCAGCTCGATGCTGAGATGTGCGGCTTGCTAGAATATGTAGAATCGCTTTATTTTGCAAGCGTCTTTGATTCGAATAAGAGGCTTTCAAATTGTCCCGGGTCGTGTACAGATTTCGAAGAGYTTCCATCTGGAAACTTGGCGGCACGATTCGAAGCTGCATTAAATGATGGCGATGACGACAAAAATTCTTGCTATTCTAAGAAAGAGCATCAAGAGGAGGTTGATATTCTAAAGAAACTTACTGTACCTAAGTTGAAAGATAGACTACTTTCCATCGGTGCAGAAAAGTCTCAATTAAGAAAGTTGCGAAAACTCGATCTGATTGAACTATTGATCCAAATGGAGCGAGAAAAATGTGACACCAAAAAAAACRAAGTCGAAGCTAAAGCACAATATTGCGAGAAATCTGACGATCCCGGCACCTGTCTCTTTTTGATTCTAGACGAAAACCTACACCGCTTTCCGTTCGAAGGTATGCCCGTCCTTGAAGCGAAGACGGTATGCCGAGTTCCATGCCTTTCCTTTGTACTTGCAACACTTTGSGAATTCCATGGTGCGCCCGACAACATTCCATTGGTTGATCCATGCAACGTAACGTACGTTGTCGACCCCGAAAACAATCTGCAAGCCACACAGAAACGCATTTTGCCAGCCCTTGAGAGCCTTGCCTCGTCTCACAAGTGGGATTGGGACGGGAGAGTGGGCGAAACCCCGCCTGTTTCCTTCTTYTCGGAGGGTTTGAGTAAGAAATACGGCCTGATGATGTACTTCGGACACGGTGGTGCTCAGGTTTGTTTCTCACGCAGGCTGGTCGAGGAGCTCATCGCTGTACGGTCACCAAGCTTGCGTGATCAAACCGAGAGCAACAAACCTTGCCGGGCGGCCGTGATTCTCATGGGCTGTAGCAGCGGCAAACTCGTCTCGATCAACAGGAAAAATTCCAGCTCGGTGGAACAAACTCCCCTTTACTACGAACCAGAGGGTGTTGCCTTGTCCTATCTATGTGCCGGAGCTCCCTGCGTTGTCGGGAATTTGTGGGATGTGACAGACAACGATATTGACAGGTGAGTGGTTGTTATTCTCGATCGGTCGRCTYSGCTCGGCTCGGATCTTGCTGTGTTTATCCTATCGSAGAGCTGTTTTCTATGGTCTCCCGGCCCTCACTCCACTTTTGTGTGTGCGTTGTTTGCMTGTCGGAACCGTCCGCACGCTTTTTCCGAACCAGGTTTTCCATATCTCTCCTGCAGCACTTTTTTGGCCGGGAACRKACCAARCAGGGACGACGGGGCGGCGTGAGCCTCGCGGAGGGAGTCTCCCTTTCTAGGTCGGCGTGCAAGCTCCGGTACCTAGTAGGATGCGCCCCCGTGTGCTACGGCGTCCCGGTGCATCTCCTCGGAGCCAACACCGGAACGCCTCCGGATCCTTTCCGATGAGAAACGTGCGTGCACGTGTGCATGGATCGTGACGCATGACTACCGCCCRTGGCAGACCATGAAGCCGAACCGTCTAGAGAAGAATTCTATAATAATAATAACACTATACTGTATCTTTTSGTAYGGGTACAAACACTGCGTACCCCATCTATCGCACGTGCAGCTGCAGCTGCGATGGCGGGAGCAGCAGGGCATTCGTGTGGCGTCCTCTGCGCCGCTCGCCGGCCTGCGTGTGCGTTTCCCCCTCCCTCAGCCCGTCCCTTCGAGGTGCCTGTAGTACTGGTTGACAATGACCTCCCGGTCGTGGTCCAGGGACGGCAGGTGCAGGTCGTCCTCCCCCCGGACYYGGTTGTAGTCGTGGAGATCCGACGGGGCGATCGGGATCCACCTCCAGTCGGCGTGGGTCTCGTTGCGGACGGTGAGACGGCCGTACCCGTACATGGAGGCGTCCCGGACCTCCAGCCACTCCTCCGGCTCCCTGCTGGAAAAGGGSGCGTCGGCCTTGCGGCCGCCGGCGCCGACCGTGACGTGCATCGGGCCCGTGTCCGTGAGGTTTCCAAAGGCGACGTAGGCAGTCCTTTGGTAGGCGTGGATGTGCCCCGTCAGGACGAGGTTGACGTGGTGCTCGACAAAGAGCGGCTCCAGGTGTTCCCTGGCGGCAAAGATCTGCGGGTCCTTGTGGTGGAGGGAAAAGGTGTTGTAGATCGGGGGGTGCATCGTCAAAAAGACCCACGGCGTCGCCTCCCGGTCGATCGAACCGAGTTCCTTCTCGAGCCATTCGTACTGGGTCGATCCGGGGGACATGTCCGCGTAGGCGTTGACAACRACGTGCCGGGCCGGTCCGTAGGTGAACGCATAGTAGGAATTCCCCCATTCGTAGGGCAGGGGATAGGGAGGAGCGTCCATGTTCATTGCTCCGTCCTCGCAGTCGCCGTCAAACACTCCGAGTTCCGGGGGATGCACCCGGGGCATCCGGAACCGGTGCTCGTATCCCAGAAAGATCTCGTTTCCGCTGTATTGCTTGTCAATGTCTGSGGAGCGGACAAGAAAACACAAAAAAGAGTGGTGAGAAAAGGGAAGACCGTTCATTGGATCGCAACGCAACGCAATGCAATGGGATGCAACGCAACGCAACGCAGCACGATCCAAAACGCCACACGACGCCACGCGACGCGACACGGCACAACGAGCGAAAACGCTACGCACCGTGGTTCCCCGCGGCGACCATGAGGGGTACCTCGTCAAAGTTGCTCTGGTCGTCCAAAAAGTCGAAAAAGGTGTCCCACTTCCGGCCGTCGTAGTCGGGATAGGCAATGTCCCCCACCAGCACCACGGCCCGGATCCCCTGGAGGTGGTCCCGGATGTGGTTGAGGACCTGCTGGGAGTGCTCGAACTGCCCAATGTCTCCAATGACCCCAAAGGTCGTGGGGTAGAGCGAGTCCTTGTTGCCTTCCTCGGGCGCCGTCCGGAACCTCCGGATCTTTCCGGCGTCGATGCAGGCAATGCCCGTGGGGTCGTAGGGGGGAGGGCTGAGGCGCCGGCCGTTGGCGTCCCACAGGGGCTGCGASGGGTCTASGTCGACGATTTCCGAGTTGGCGTCGTAGTCGCGTGCCAGGTAGGCCTCGTCGTATTCAAAGTGCTGCTGCCCCGGGGATTTCGAGAGGTAGCGAATGCTCTTGTGGTGGTGGTGGTCGCCATCGCCGCTAGGGTCGGGACCGTATTCCGCTTCGGCTTCGGCTTCGACTTGCTCCTCGATGAGTTCCTGCTGTGCCTTTGTGAGCTTGGTTTCCGTTTCGATGTCCACGGCCAGGGGATTTCCTTGTTGTTGTTGTTGTTTTTGTTGTTGTTGTTGTTGTTGCTGCTGCTGCTGCACCTCGCCTTGGCCGGAAACGGCGGAGGACCCCGCAAAGTGCCTGCGGGCGTGCTCCTCCAGGGACCCGATCCCCTTCTCCCGATCCCCCAGGACCGGCAGGTAGTAGTAGGTGGTGTCGGGCTCCAGCCCCCCGACGGTGATGTGGTGCTGGTAGGGCGCGTGGTACAGTCCCTCCTCGGGGTGTTTGTGCTTCATGTAGATCGTGTAGGTGGCCGGCTCCTCGTGCTCCGGGTAGAACCGGCTGCTCTCCAGAAAGTCGGCGTAGTAGTGCGGGTCGTTGCGTGCCTCGCTATTGCTATTGATATTGCTATTGCTCCCGCCCGGGGGCGCCCTGGTCCCCACAAAGACCCCCGCCACCGGAGCCACCCGGTCCGGAAAGGCCCAGGTGCTGGCAAAGGAGACCGTCATGGAGCGAGAGGGCGACGGRTCGTTGGCCACCGCCAGGTGCAGGTGCCGGACGCTCCCGTGGCAGTGCCGGGGGGCAATCGCGATGCTGGCKGCCACCAGCAGGCCGTTCGGCCTCGGCTTTGTGCTCTGGTGGCAGTGGTCGTGGCTCCCAAAGAGGGCAAGCGCAAACGAAACCACCAGCGCCGCCGCCAGGAACCCTGGCGAGAGGCTCCGGAAACGGGCCTTTCCGCGTCTTTTTGTGCGACGTTTGGAGGGGTTGGCCACCATTGTTCAGAGACGAGAGCCCGTGCAATGCCGTCCGGTCCGACTCGAGGTGTTCGAGTGTGTTGTTGAMTGTCGCGTTGTTGCGATGTCGCGTTTTTGCGTTGTTGCGTTCTCGCGTTGTTGCGTTGTCCTCTATACAGTACGTACGGTACCGTGCGCTCCGAGTTTTCCGCGGTTGGACCAAAACAATCCGCTGCTTCCGTGCTCCACTGCGATGGATGGGTCTGATGGATTCTCTCTATCGCTCCATATGGTTCTGGTTCTCGTGMTGGTTCTTGTAGTCCTGTGACAGGTACACTACCGTATGTTGTGTTCCTCGCAGTTTTGAAAAAGGCGTCTTCGAAACTCCGCTGACTTGCTCATCGTGCAAGATTCCGCCAGAGAGTTTTGTTTTTGTTTTTAAGCAACGATTATTTCCTTTCTCGACCAAAAACAAAGGTTGGCCAGTCGTGTATCGATGGAATCTACGTACCGACTGCCAGTACGGTACGTACGTACTCTAAGGTACACTGCAAACTATCATGACTGCAAAACTTGATACAGTCGAAACGCACGCCATCAAAAGCAGGATCGGAGTGTGTGTATGTCGTGCCTTTCGCTGGCAACCACTCCGGGATTGATGATGATTGATCCCGGGGCCTCGACCAAATTTGTTTCGGTCCCGTCCCCCGGAGAACGACGACGAATCTCCAGAATTTCTCCTTCGAGACCAATAGCAGGAGTACGAATGGATTGATGGCAATGGAAGGAATATCGTATTGCTTGAAGTAGCACAAAGAAGTCTCGAACTAGAGCTGCTTRCTAGAAATAAGTACTAGCATTAGTACTACTAGTCATGCTATCATGATGTTACTATTACTATCACTAGCACTTTCACTAGCACTACTAGTAGTGATACTTGGGCTCTCGAGTGTTGTGTTGTGTTTGGTTCCAAGCGAGCGGCACCGTTCGGCCGGGAATGCTGCTGTACGGTACCGTACTGWGCTCCTGCCTACCTGCCGTCTTGTCTTAGGTACACCCGAGCACGACCAGTCCCCCGCCCACCGCCGCCGCCGCCCACCCACCGAGCCACGGGCCCGCTTCCGCGGAAGAGGCCGCCGACCCGGGACGAAGGATCGTCCTCGGCGTGCACCSGCAGGACTCCCGCACCAGAGGGACGGCTGCCTCGCAGTAGGAATCCTCCGTGGGCCCCACCAGGGCCTCCCACTGGGCCCCGAAGCAGTTCTTCCGGGCGGACCCGGGCCCGGGCGTCGCAAAGGAGGACCCCCGGAACTCCATCATGGCCATGGTGGGTCCCCCCGACGCTTCGGCGTCGCCGAACGACCCGCACAGGTTGCAGCCCCCGTCGCACGGCAGGGACCTGTACACAAAGTAGTCCAGGGCGGTCCGCGAGAGGCTCGGGACCYTGCAGAACCGGCCGGAGTATCCGAGCACCGTGTTTCCGCAGTCAAAGGTGGCGCAAAACTCACGCCTCGGAAGCCCGTTCTCGTCCATCGCGTCCAGGGTTTCCAGCCGACACGAGGAACACACCACGCCGTCGGCCTCCATTTCGCAGCTGTATCCGTTCTCCCCTATGTTGTAGCGCATGCAGTACGAGAATTCCCAAGAGGACTCCTCCTCGTCGGAAACCGGTCGATCGGTTTTGGTCAGGGTTGCCTCTATCCTACGACACCGTTCGCTGGAGTACGATGACGTCGATGTCGATGTCGACGTCGACGATTCTCCAGTGGCTGAAACAGACACTGAATCTGTATCTGTAYCTGTTTCACCGTACAGGATTCGCTGGAGTGTATCATAGCGGCAAACCGTCATGACGTTGTTCGGACACCGGCTGTYTATTTCGTAGCAGTTGCCCGCAGAAGAAGACGATGGAACTGGTGTCCGGCAGTCGAAGGACCCGACCGTTCCCGTTCCGGGGGCACTTGTGTCACCGATTCGTTCGCAAGTGCTACAATCGTAGATGGATTCCGGATTGCCATCCTCGGCCGGGTTGCAKAGGAATCCGAAATTTGTCTTGTCGTCGTCGACGATTCGAAACAGATCAAACGCCGGAGAGTCTGGCGCGTTGGATGTCTCGTCTGTTGCAGCCGGCTGTAGTTTTCGGAAGGACAGAATTCCGATGTCGATGCCCGCGTCAGTAGTTTGCGTATCGGTTGGGTCGTTCCCATCCCCAACGCCCGTGTTTGTTAGRCTCCTATGKGAGGGAGGGCTCGAATGCCTCCCGAGACTGCCGGATTCTTCCGATGGACCGTAAACGCCATTGTTGCTGTTCTCGTTGCCGTGGCCGTRGCCGTCGTTGCTGCTGCCCTCTCCTGYTTCGAACGGAGGCTCGAACGGATGCGCTGTGGAAGAGGAAGAGCCTTTTGTAGACGACAGTGATGCCGCACAGTTAGTGATAGTGGTTGACAACACCGACGCTGCTACGGCAAATCTCATCGTTCAGTACTTTATGTTCCAAAGCCCCATGGTCGATATGACACTGCAAGTACTACCGGTACGAATGTTTCCATCCACTATGTCGTCGTGTCGTCCACGACGAACATCTATTTTAACAACCATAATGATGTACGTACCTAATGTTACGTGCCGTTTTGTACCAGAAAAATGATGCCGCATGTCTTAGTCAGTAACGGACAAACCAAAAAATGATTGGATAATTTGAGTCGTGGACAATAGGTACGAGTTATGCATCAGTGCAGTAGGATGTACAGTACCAAGTACCGTTTCGTACCTTACCGGTAGTGAGTACGAGTACAGGAAGAGTTACTCGTATKTTTTTCTAGTGAAGAAGCAGTTCATAGACTTCACAAGAAAAGGTACGGTACGGTACGTACGAACCGGCCGGTACGAAAAATGAAAAATGGTATCTAACGTTCTTTCTTCCCCTTGTCAGACGGCATCAAAGGATCGGAACGAGAATTCGAAATYACCGGAGAAGATATTTCAGGATTCAGTCTCAGATTTGAGTTCAACGAAGATTGCTGGTGTCTCCAAAAATAGAACACGAACACAAACGGAACCGAGCAATGCATCCGAACAAGAGAAGAGAAATTGAATGAAGAGTTAAGCGAACCTACGTTTGACACCCCAAATCATTTGGGGAGAGGAACGCACCTCTAAAGCTTCGAAATGAGCGCCTCGTCTTCCCCGTATCGATTCTGTAAGATCCCCTCTGTCAACCTAACGCCTTTCTTTACAAAGAAGGGCGTTGTCATCGGAGATGCTCCCACCGAAGATCAGTTACGGGTAGCCGCTACCATTAACAGGGTTTGCCAGGAACACGGATTCGTTCACGTCACGAACTTCGGAATGTCGAACGAGATGGGGGAGAAACTGTTTGCCGCATCGAGAGAACTTTTCGACAATCCCAAAAAGGGCAACGACTACGAGCCCTGGTCTCCCGCCACGAACACGGGGTTTTCGGCGTTTCGAAACGAATCCCTGAACAGAAATCGTCCCCCCGATCTCAAGGAGGCTTTCAACATACGATTGCCCCCCGCGTGGGAAAATCCATCTATTCCAATGACRCCGCAGTCCTTTCAAGACATCATCGATGATTACCTCCGGGTAATGAAAACCGCCACCATCCGATACGGGATGGTATGTTCATTGGCCTTGGATTTGCCAATGGATACGTTCACCAAAGTACTGAATACATTCGACATGTGTACTGCCCGTTTTTTGCATTATCCACCTTGTCATTTTGTAGAGGCTATTGATCCTTCGGTAGAAAGAGAGGAAGRAGAAAAGAAAACGAAAATACCAACGGCGTCGGCCAAGGTTCAGTTGGCTATCCGAGTGGGAGARCACACRGATTTTGGCACGTATACCTTCTTGTTGCTCGCAAGCAACCAAGGACCTATGGGACTCCAAATCAAACCCGGAGAGAGAGGTGGAGAAATCGGAGGGTCGGCCGGAGGSGAGGAAGGCGGCTGGATGGATGTTGTAATCGAACAAAACAGTGACGRYGACARCAATGTCTTTGGAGCTATCATCAATACCGGTGCAATGTTGGCTCGAATGACCAACGACTTCTGGAGAGCCACACCTCACCGCGTCATTGTTCCCACAGCAGAAATAGCGGCGAAAGATCGATACTCGATTGCCTTCTTTGTGGATCCGGATTCCCACGAAATGATCAAGGTCGAGGGAAAATATAAAGACTATYCGTCTYCCGAAGATGGGAAGGCGCCTCTAGTCTATCGCGAGCCGATTTCTAGCAAGGACTTCATTCTTATGAAACTTAATGAATTGGCTCAAGCCGGAAGAAAAGAGTAGGGGGAATCAGAAAATACGAGCACGAAGGTCAAGCGTTTGTGC